GGTTCATAATTATACGAACACCTTGAATTTTGAAAGTTTTTGGACTTTTTAGAAGAAACTCAAAAAGCCGTTGATACCACGCGATAGAGCACAGCCAAAAACGGTATATGATCCATAAGAATGGAAATCGATGTCAATCTTAGGAGTGTTTTTGCGCCTAATGCGAATTTTGAACAGTTCATAATTATACGAACACCTCAAACAAAGGTCCATTTTTCATTCAAGATTGCAATCTTTCGAGTCCAGATTTTTTGTAGAGTTACAGTAAAAAAGTCTGACATATCTGCTACACGCTAAACCCAGTGCAGTTCAAAAAGAGGATCTTTACTTTTCTCGGATTGCTCTAAATGCTTTTGGAGTGATTGCGCTCCAAAAACATCCGTTCTTCTGTAGTTCACGCACTCTAATTAGCTTCCACCAAGGCTATGATAAAATAAGCTTCTTTGATAGTATTTTGTTTGACGTTTGGAAAATCTATGCGTTTTCGTGCCGCTTTTCAACCAAGTTCTAACCTCACCCTTAAGTTAGTACGATTTCGAGCCTCAAAACTCAGCTTTTCTCCCGCGCAAACACTTGATATGAAGCAGCTGCATTGTTTCCATGATGATGTATCCATGTCAAAGTTTTTGGGTTTTTTGTAGAACTGACCTCGAGGTTATGGAGCTACAAACCAAATAAAGGTGTGACTGAAATAGTAAAAACAGTGGTTTTGGTGAAATGACGTCTGCGTGGCCGAAACAAACGCTCAATGCTGCTGATTTTTTAAACCAGATACGAAGTCTTGTGAACTTCTACGTACTGCTGCTGATTTTTTAAACCAGATACGAAGTCTTGTGAACTTCTACGTACTATGTGCTTACTTCATAGTAAGGCTTCAGAAGCTGAGTTTCAAGGCTCGAAACCCTGCTAACTCTAGGGTAAGTTTGAAACTTAGTTAAAAAACGGCACGGAAACGCAAAGATTTTCCAAGCGTTAAACAAAGTACCTATCAAAGGAGCTTATTTCATCTCATAACCTTGGTAGAAGCTAATTAGAGTGCGTGAACTCCAGAAGAATGGATGTTTTTGGAGCGCAATCACTCCAAAAGCATTTAGAGCCATTTGAAAAAAGTAAAGATCCTCTTTTCGAACTGCACTGGGTTCAGTGTGTAGCGGATGTTTCAGACTTTGTAACTGTAACTCACTCTACAAAAAATTTGGACTCGAAAGATTGCAGAATGAAAATGGACCTTTGTTTGAGGTGTTCGTATAATTATGAACCGCTCAAAATTCGCATTAGGCGCAAAAACACTCCTAAGATTGACATCGATTTCCATTCTTATGGATCATATACCGTTTTCGGCTGTGCTCTATCGCGTGGTACCAACGGCTTTTTGAGTTTCTTCCAAAAAGTTCAAAAACTTTCAAAATATAAGATGTTCGTATAATCATGAACCGCACTTTATATGAGGGGGATTTACACATGCTCGCTAGTAAAAGTTCGACCAGTCATTTACCTAAAGAATCTAATCAACAATCTAAAGGAATGTCAGTCCTTCATAAAATACAAGAGACGATCTTAAAGGCAGCGTCCAGGCAGATCTGAACACATTAGAATCGCGCCTGAAAAACTCTGGGCTTCTAACTAAAACACTGCCTAAGCGGCAGCGCAGATGTCGTGCGGCTGAGATAGTCGCCTCCAGACCGTAGTTTGACGACGAATTGCCTCGAGTTGCTTGTCATTGCGTGCGTATCCACCGCAGGGTTCCGCGCAAAACCCTGCAGGTCAAGGTAAGTCGTCCGCCAAGTACGGTACTGGGGATATGTGCCTTGACGCTGCCTTCAAGAAACTTTTTTTTGACTACCCTGGCAGGTAGTACAACAGCCATTGAAAATGTGCAAATATTCTCACTTCAAGTTCATCTTAAACAGTAGGTATGAGCATTGTCCGTTACGAATAATCTTGAGTTACGTAAAATCCTTCTTAAGCGATTTCGAAGAAAAAGCGGCGTAGTGTTATGAGGTAGCTTACTTTGTAACTATCCCGAGTTCAAGCAAAAAACATCTTGGAAACTTCTTTATTCAGCTCTTAACGAGCGAATGTAGTACCAGTGTTCATCTTTGCCAAAGAATCTCATTTTTGCCGAAATTCCGTTTAACATTCAAAAACTTCACAAAGTTACTTTTATAGGATTTCTCCCACTTCGTCCCCTTCTAGTGATATCTTGTCTGGCTATAAAGTAGAAGTAGGACAAAATGAGGCGTATCTCATAAAGTGTCGTAAAAGGAGGAACCAACGACAGGGAAGGAATATATGTATTGAAAAGTAGGATAAACGAAATTATCAAGTAAAACTTGTCTGGTATCGCTAGCAAAGTGAGCAGACAAATGGCTGTGTTGATGAGAAGCGAATCGAAGCTGTTTTAAGGTTGAAACAAGGTAAAGAAGAAATGCTTGGAAATCTCGTTGCAAAAAGAAAGGCTTTGAAAGAGATTGCGTGTAGTTCACCATAACGATTTGGTTTCAATGCTCTACAAAATCCTTAGCACCTGAAGACCTCATGTGTTGTCGTCCAACTTTCTACTTCCCAACTACTTTTTTTGCCAACCATTCCTTGTTTCTTCTTCGGTTAAGTTTGTACAATTCAAAAGTTCCGGAACAGTTCCAGCACAGTTCTCGCATTGTGCTGGGACTGTGCCGGAACTATGCTGCATGCGCTGCAGCCGCCCCTATGCGGTTTTGAGCGGCTCGGTCAATTTTAGACTTTCTTTAACGGTCATGATTGTAAATTTTGCCCATTTTCGTCTCATCCTCGCATCTTGCTTCTTCTTTTGATGTAGAGGATTACGAACTTGAAGCGGGATTCGAGAATGAAACCATTTCATATCATGTCCTGCGCAAATCATCTATTTTCCTTTGCGAGTCATTCTCCTTCGTGATTTTCTGTTAAACGATCACTTTGTGTTTCAAAGAGTCGCTGTATTCTCGATATGTACAGCTGTTTTCAGAAGGACTGATACAACCATCACAAATGCGGAAATAACGAATTTTTCTTTGTGTCTTCGTGGTATTGGGTTTTTGGGCGTTTCAGCCCATTTCTGTGCACAACTTTTACTCTTGCTTTTTCGTTCTTAATTACTGTTCCGCTTCTGATGTAAAAACCAAACTTGAAGAAATGGGCACGTTTAAAAGCGGCATCAATTTGTGGCAATTTCCGGCTGATTCACAAAACGAAATAGCGCCTTACCTTTGTACCCCTCTCCAAGATGGAAACTTTTTCAAACAAGAGCAAGCGAGATACATAAATGATGTGAAAACGAGCAAAATTCACCTGGAAACTGTCGAAGAAAGTTAGAAATTGTTATTTCGCGCCGCTTAAACCCGCATGCGGGCGGCTGCAGCACATGCAGCACAGTTCCGGAACAGTTCCACAGTGCGAGAATTGTGCTGGAACTGCTCCGGAACTTCGGGATCCGTATGAGACCAGCCTTATGAGTACACGCTGGGTGTTCCCAACACATTTTTTACAACTGTACGAGGCTTTTGTTCCACACTTAACGTTGCCGAATCAAATATGTAAGCGCACCATCTAAATGGGTTAACTGCTAAACATTTATTCTTCTCAAATCAATACCATGTATCAGCCTGTCACTTGCGTAAGCTGTTTGGAGGCTTTCCCTCTGCGAAGTCAGCCTCTCATCTTCCGAAGCTATCTTCTCGGTCCCGGCTTAAAGGCAGTGTCCGGGCAAAAGCTCGATTTTGAGATTTTCTGCTTACTTGGGCCTATTCGCTACGCTGAATCCGAAAATGCACATTGTAGAGTGCGAAAATGGCGAAAAACGGCTCTAACACAGGAGGGAAATGAGCAGGTGGGCGGGGTCTTCCCCACTGCGAAATTACGTTTCCGGCTTCCGGAGCGACCTTCGCTTCCGGTTTCAAGTCAATCATTCGCACTTGACCGGTAGCGATGTTAGGACGGCTGGCGGAATTGAAAGAATCGTTCCGGGAGCTGGGAGCGTGAAATCGCACTGGGGAAAGCCCCGCCCACCTGCTGATTTCCCTCCTGTGTTAGAGTCCTTTCTCGCCGTTTTCGCGCCTTCCAATGTGGATTTTCGGATTCAGCATGGCGAATAGGCCCGTATAAGTACAAAATCTCAAAATCGAGTTTTTGCCCGGACACTGCCTCTAAAGTCATGCGCTTGCATTCGGTCGCAGGTGATGTTAGCGCGGCTGGACGCCGCTCTCACCTGCTGCTTTTCCTCCTGCTTCTAGTCTTCTTTTAATAGCTTCATCTGTAAACTCCTGCGACTGCAGTAGCGCACGTCTCGTATTTGCAGGACTCGCATGAGGCATGCGCATTAGCTTGAAAAGCACAAATAGAAAACAACTTTATAAAGCGATTAACTACCAAGAATATACGTCAATACAGGGGCATAACCGATTTGTACAGCTTTCTCCTGCAAGGCGAATGATGTACAACCTCAACTGAAGCATCACCGTTCTTCCAAAGCATGAACCGTGAAGCACTGTGCGTGTATTTCCGCGAATTTGGCGAAGAATAACTTGCACACGTGCAAATGTGAACCCTAAAGTGCCACTGTCGCAAACAGTAACGCGAAAAGCATCTTTGCAGAGGTGCGCCTTCAAGAAAAAGTTGAGAACTTGTCGCATTTTAAGATGTAATTTTAGTCCGGATGTATATATTACCTTAAGGTATATTCGATTCATCTAATCTTTACAGCTTCATGTTTGTATCTACTTTGACCTACTGTCTGTACCTGTTTGTATTTACTATCTTTATATCTACAGTATCGTGAATGAAACCAATGATAGCCTCTTGTCTACGAAAATTGAACTATTCGTTTTTTCGAATAGTACTTTATTATATTTTATTTTATCTTTCATTTTATTGCTCCCACTAATACTCTTGATAAACAGGAGGTTTGATTGTGAATTGTAGAAACTTTTGTGTTTGCAAACTTTCGAGTACGCGCAAGATGAATTATGGATTCTGTTAGTCTCGTCTAATTGCATTAGTTTCATTTTTCGGAGACAACACTAAGTGAACACAGATATGTCAGGATATTGAAGATATGGGCCTCGGCGGTGGTGTCATGTGCTTGAGAACTTGATCGAGCCACTAAAATAGAAGTTTTGAGACTTGGTGATTATCAAACACCTTACTTTATAGCGGAGTTTCCTTGAGAGGCTGTCAAAATGTTCCTCGCTTGCATTTAAGAGCTCGAATATTAGCTTAAGTTGACGTTGAACAGGTAATGGGACACCTAGTTACAAAAAAAATGAAAGACGTTTATAAGCTTATTCAGGAATCGACGCACCTTTATATTTACATTTAGCCACTTGGTAGTGTCAACTTCACCTTTATTCAGTTGGATTGGCGGCTGGAAGGTAGGGCCGCTCGCGCTCGCGGCGCAGTCGGCTTCTCTGTCCCGCGTGCTCTCTGATCATCTCTAACTTTAATTAAGTAAGCCCCGCCTTCCAGCCGACAACCCAGCTGAATCAAATGGAACATGGTAGGAGCCTCATCTGCGCACGAACTGATAGCAATCGCGATAAGATAGTTGCAAAAATTAAGAGTACAGCCATAATACATACACAATGTTTCCACAATGCAAAAACATTAGACATACTGTTGCTAGGAAGTACAAATCAGAAAAGGTTTTGAAGTTTTGTGGGGAACATTCAACTCATCAATCATTGTGTTTAAATGATGCAACATCAAGCGTTAAGAATGAAAGCGCAAATCTTTGATGCAAAGTGCAGGGCGTTGTTAGGAAAGTCTGGCCGGCTTTTCAAGCGTATTTAAGAAAAGATAGAACATTGCTTCCAGCACGCTAAGCAAAGGTCACTTATGAAGTTGGAAGTATACTGCGCCCATTTTTTACTGTGAATAAAGAAAGATGTAATAAAAAAATTAGGTTACCCTTTACTTTTACCTCACCTATTTTTTTCTTCACGGCAAAAAAAGCACTTTTTGAAGCTACTCTATCAAATTTTGTAATACGGATAATGTGACTGTAAAAGAGAAAAGTGAGTATAATTCCTACCGTTAGCGGCGCATGGAGATGTATTTCGATCCAACAAGGTGTAGATGTGACATCCTTTCGTTGATACTCAGCTCCCCAACCCTTCACAAATGACATTCGTATAATTGTCATCTTTGTCAGCTCATATGATGCATCGAAACCTCGGGTGGAGCAGTCCGCAAGAAGCTGTAAAATGAAGATGATTTGCTAGAATGAGTAGCAGTTAAAGAATCAAAGAGCTCAGTAAAACATCACACGTAAAAAAAGCAGCTTATTACTATAAATTACCAGTGGGACTAGATATGCACAAATTTTAGGTGACTAGTGAATGTACTTCCCTTGCGTCAGCTTGCTAAAAGAGAAGATTTTGCCTGATAAGATTCTTCTTAAAGGCAGCGTCCAGCCAGATCTGGACCTATGGGATTTTGCATGGAAAGTACCTTTGGGATCCTAACAAGGTACTGCCCAAGCGGCAGTGCAGGTAGTGCTCTAACGGCTAAGATTTCGAGGGGAATATCTCAGCCGTTAGAGCACTATCTGAGCTGCCGGTTGGGCAGTGGCTTAGTTAGCGCCCCAAAATTACTATCCAGGTGAGATCCCCATGTGTCCAGACTTGCCTGGACGCTGCCTCTAAAATATTTGCTGTCCTTGCTAACGTTGATTCATATGTCAAAATATGAGATTGTTGAAAAAACGCTTTCATCATCTTTTGGCTCAAAATTGATACTTCTTTTGGTTTCATATAAGTTCTGAAGATGCAGTGTACAAGTATTAGGTTGAACACTAAGTTTTGCATCTGGTTTCATAACTTCACTCTCATTCAACATGGCGCACTCAAACTTTGGCTTCATGTAGAATGCAATGTGAGCTACAAGAGAGCACAAATTGCCTAAATTTTAAAAAAGAAATAGAAAAGTGTCAGGCATTTTTTGAAAACTAGTGAAATTTGAGAATTTTTGGGGTTTCAAGTTAAAATGAAACCTTTAGCAGCCTAGACCATGCGCAGTAATCCGGATTCGTCTACAAATTATTGTTGGGGGTTGACTCCTTTGGCCTAGTAAGAAAGAAACAAAATGGGGCATGTCGAGATTTGGCGTCTTCACAAAGTCGAACGAGTCGATGTACGCAAGAGCTGCTGGGGACGACCGTCAATGACTAAAGAGTCCGAAGTTCAATTTCCGCCGAGACTTCAGTAGGGTTATTTGACCTGCCGAACGCGAATATCATATTCATTTGTTAAATCAACGCCATTTTCCTTGTTTAGGGTGAGACCCCGTATCGTACACCTCAGTAATCTTATAAAAAAGCCTTTATCACGAAATTTCATTATCGTTTTCGTGATCAGCATGTCGGATAACACCCCTATGCTAAGTTTCAGCCAATCCGTCAAACTTCGAATTTTCCTCTTCATACCATACACTTACCGTAACCCTCACTGCGACGACAGAATTTGGTAGGACAGCAGCTGCTCTTGTAGCTTACGTGATAACCAACACAGTGGCAAAATTTGAGTGCACCATGTTGAGTGAGAGGGAAGTTATGAGACCAGTTGCAAAACTTAGTGTTCAACCTAATATCTATTAATAACAAGCTGTTACCTGTTCTTTTTCCAACATCGCTAAAAGTGGAGCTTACCATTTTGTATTTATCTATATCCTGCTGGGGAAGGATCCCAAAACGGAGTGGCGATTTGGGCTGGATACGACTTGTTATTGAATCCAAATCGAATTCCTTATCGAAAAGGACAGTACTACTTTTTTCAACTTCAAATTTTACCACGCGTTTAACTGCGTGAAGTCTGGGGAGCTCGTCCGCAATTTTTTATCATCAAGGCGATCATTGAAGTTTTGCTGGGAGTTATAATCTCAAATATTTCTTTTCTTCTTCTCAGACAGCTCCCGATGTATCAACTTTAACTTTGGGGATTTGAGTCATAAGCTCAAAGAGAATATCCCACCTTATCTCTCTCTCCCCTCCCCCCCCCCCCCAAAAAAAGCAAATTTCTTATGGAAGTCCAATTCTCTATCTCGATTTACGCCGGCCTTAATACAGAGCATAGTGTACATCTCGTCATCCAAGCGACCGCTTTTCTATCTTACATTGATGTTAAAGGCAGTGTCCAAGCAAAAAGACGATTTCAAGATTTTGTGCTTATCTAGGCCTATTCTCTAAGTTGAATCCGAAAATCAACACTGGGGATTCCGAAAACGGCGAAAAAAAGACTCTAACGGAGGAGGAAAATTGCAAGTGGGCGGGGCTGTTCACATAGTGGCGTCACTCTCCTAGCTTCAGGGGCGATCTTCTCGATTCCGCTAGTCGCCCCAAATCACCACCAGCCAACTGCGGAATGCATGACATAAAATTTCAACTGAGAAGATCGCTCCTAAAGCCTGGGAGAGTGAGGTCACGGTTTGAACGGCCCCGCCCACATGTGGTTTCCCTCCTACGTTGAGGCCTTTTTTGGCGTTTTCGTTGTACTCTGCATTGTAGTTTATCGGCTTCAGCATGGCGAATAGGCCCGGGTAAGCACAAAATCTCAAAATTGACTTTTTGCTTGGACACTGCCTTAAGAAGGTTTTTGAAACTTGCAGGGTTGTTTATTGAAAACCATTTTATTGCGAAGAGATATGAATACAAGAACGGAATTTTCAAAAACTGCCGTAGGATATCAGTGGTCCACGTTGCGTCAAGGGCTTTAAATAGAATGGTAAGGGTTATAAAAGCAGAAAAACTAACCGTCCTAAAGCACTGTTCATCAAAGATCTTGAGTGAACATTTGTTTGCGATTTTCACCACAGTGGTCGGGTGGAAGCCGTGTATGAAATTGCAATTTCGTGATTGCACGAATATGGCCGAATCGGACTCACACTCAGCAAATAACGTGCCTTGATGTCGAACATAGGTGAGCTTTACCCCTAAACAGACATTTCTGTAATCAGCTGGAGAATAACATGCTGACTTCATCACCTTTTCCGATCAAACGTCTAGTGTTTTCAATAGGAGGGTTTCTGTTAACATTCGAGAATAGTCCTAAGCTGATTTTTTGTGGATTATTGGTTGGATCCGTGTATCCGTCAATAAATATTGGTGATGATGTTACCTAAAGTCTTTGTGATATGCTATCGTAACGTAGAGGCGATGTTGTTGTGTGCTGACATATTTCTCGTTTTTTTGTAAACGAATTGGTCTTCAGTGGACTTTGCTCCTAATCATAGCTCCGTAATCGCCTATAAAAGTCAAACTCGTTAGCCTTTAGTAAGCTCCAAGTCCAGCTAGCAAGTTTGCCCTTCAAGCCTTCTTTCTTGCTCCCTTAGAGGCAGCGTTCTGGCAAAAAGAAGGGTACCGGATTTTGTGGCGAGCGATGACCGAAGTTCGGAGCGAAAAAGGGGGTCTACCAAGCTTTAAATTTGCTCCGAAAGTGACCCGGACTTTACGCGCCGAATGCGCCCGCATAGCGATTTCGATCTGCAACGCCAGAGCACGTAGCGCACACAGCCATGAAGCAGGGTCCGGCAGCGATTCTGCGTCTCTACCTTGCATGCATCTCGTACTCGCCCAAGCCTACCGGGGCAATTTATAGACTTCGTAGACCCTTTCGCGCTGCAAACTTCTGTCATCGTTAATTAGGGAGGTTTACCATTACATTATTACCAAAGCCAGGTACCCCCAAGTCTGGTGGGACGCTGCTTTGAACGCTCATCTAGCCTTCAAGACTAGCAAAATCAGATGCGTTCCAGAGTGATCAGACCTATTTGGACCTACAGAAATTAACTCGTATTATGGAAAAGACGTTTGCGAATGGCGGAGCTTTTAGTTGTTAAGAACGCATTGAACACATCAACAAAACTTGGACCTCCTCACACCAGCTTCACTTTACCTTATTATAGAATGCAGCGGTATCAGCAAGCTACGAATTCCAGGTGACATACCAGCGCACACGAAGCGTGAAAAATTATACGTCAAACATTCATAAAAAAGTACGCAGAAATTTTTACTTTTAAAGGCTAATGCCACAAGCAGCTACGATATAATCCGCGTCCAGGAAGCTATCGAGCGCACTGGCTAAACTAGCAAAAACTAGTATACTTCGCTTCAAGAACGAGAGGGACCATAAGACTGAAGGGCTGGAACAAGTGAAAGAGATCTTATAGAAACAATACAAAGAATTTGAAGAGTAAACTTTCGACTTTCGCTACCTGAATAAGATTACTGCAAAGAAGAAGGCCGAGCAACCGGGCAAGCGAACGCTTCAACGACTAACTTTAACAAAGCTTTGAGTAAGACCATGTGCAAACCTCACGCGACCCCACTTGCGCGATATGGCATTTTCCAAGTTTCAAATTCATCGTAAATGCATTTGGCACTTCATCAACAGAAGTTATAAACTCCATGCAACCCTTTTCTGCGAGTGCTTGCGAGTGGTTCAAAGGTAGATTTTTATCAATAAAAAAGGAATTAACAAAAATTCTCACGCGTATCTGCTCTCCGACTCTCGTGTTCATCTCGTAGTAACTGATAGTCGCCCAATGTTCTGGTTGGACACATTGAACCTGGAAAAGAATGAACTATTTATTTAGTATTTAGTTGGGTTTAGTTTTGCCTCTTTTTGAAACTGGTGGGAAAGACTCGAGTGAGGATAAAAGTAGAAGGCAATTTGCTTACTGCAACTGTGGGAACACTTGGTGAGAAGCTGTATCCGTCAGCCTCGTCTACCTGCATCTGACTGAACTGCGAATGACTGAAAAAGTTGCAATCAACATCGCGATGTGTTTTGATTCTGTCAAATAAGCTTTCCTATTTGCTTCAACACGCGCGGACTGATAACGCTAGAAAGTTGTGAATTATCAGACATGCAAACTTTTGAAGAAAGGTTTAAGGACAGGACATAGGAGGACATCCATTCAAAAAATCGTGAAGACGGCTTGGCTAGGACTACGACCATCGACTAGGAGTAAAAGTTAAGTTAGAAAGTAGCTTTTGTTATTTTGACTATTATATGGTCGTTTGTGTTGGGGTGTACCTCCTGAAAGCCGCATTCAGTGTTTGTGACGTTACCCTTCTTTCATCTGTTTTCTATCAAGAAGCGTTTCTTAATAATGCTAACAAATTTCTTCATCCTATTCAACTTTCTCTTATCAAGTGCTGTTGCGAGACAAACTGAACGAAGATCCATTGTTCATGAGTATTTTGACTTCGAAAAAACCTACTAACTTGGTAAAAACGTTTGATAGGTCACAAACACTAAAATGCAGCTGTGTGATGAACTGATATCTTTAATAACTGGTTCAGTTATTATTGTTGATTTGTTTGTTCCGATTTGTTCGTTTCCATACTCGTGCTAGTTACTCCGCTGACCATGCCTCTGATCTACGTGTACTTTCCGATATCGCGCGGGATAGAGCCAATACTTGGTGCTGCTATTTCGCAATTCTCATTGATTTCTTGATCTTGCTAACCTCATGCTATAAAAGGAGGCAGCCACGGCTGTCCTCAGTTCATTCTTATTCTGCTGCTACCTAAGGGATGGGCCAGACTGCGCGGCGTACGCGGCGTACGTACGCCGCGCACGCTCCTGTGATGATATATACCGAGCGTACGCTGCGTACGTCACGTACGCTCGTACGCCGCGCACTTTGGCTCAACACTAATAAAGTGTTTGGTTCTGCTGTCTTGTACTCCCCCCTCGATATCTGGCCCACGCTACCACGACGGTAAGCGTGTTTACAGCTGCCAATAGGTACACATGAACTCTAATGACAAGTGATTGGCCAAAATAACAAAAACTTCTTTCCAACTAACTTTCGACACCTAGTCGATTGAGTCACCACTGAAATATGGAGAATGAGCGAAGAAAATACTAATTACCATAAACTTTTCGATTTTTGGCATTTGTTCAAGCCCAGGGCTACCGCTTCTGCATGCGCATATGTACCGGAAAATCTACTCGTATGTAAGTATATATGTATGTATGTACGTGTGTATTTTATGTTCCGAATAGAAAATTCCATTTCTAAACCGATCCGGACCGAACTTTGCACACACACACTTCGGAGGTAGGTGTAAACCACTACTCGTTAACGATCAATATAGATTTCATCAATTTGAAACGACTTTTGCATAATTGGGGCTAGGGTATTGGGAGTTGTCACCAAGTGGTAGGTGAGTATGCTAATTACAAGAACAATATATCAGTTCGCAGAGTCATCATTACAATTGACTTTATCGATTTTTCTCTGAGGCTGAATTACGGGGCTGGGAGGGTGCCGAATACGAAAACAGTAAAGGCAGGATATAGGCCAGAGGTGCGACCGGGACAGAAAAATGTTATACAGAAATAGAGCTTGGTGGTTTTCGTCATAGTCAAGCCAAGGCGAAAACGAGCACGCCAGCTAACATTTAGTGGAAAGAAGTAGATGTAGTACCAAAGATAGAAAGCCTGTTTCTGTGCATCTTACTTGAATAATCCGGCAATTTCCACGTTCTGTGGCATCGACGAACCCGAAGCCTCCATGGCTTGCATTCTTCGAATTTCAGGGGGGATTGATGGTGGTGGTAACTCCGAGTACCTGTAGGATTCTCAAGGCACCGTTGAAAACATTATAATAAATTTTGTATAATAAATGCCTGGGAACTAGAACAGGCGGAAGTACTCCATCGCTTTCGATTCGACGATAATGATAGGGATTGATACAAATCTCTTTTTGACCCGAATCGTAGCAGTACCTGCAATTCCGCAAAGATGTGAAGTAATCACTGACAACTGTTATAAGGCTTTCAGCGTTGCTATTTATAAAGTATACGTACTTCTTCATTCAAGAATACGTATAGACATTGTAAATCAATAGCTTGGCTTAATTAAGTATTTATGGTTTAAAAAGTTAAAGAAGCTATCAGATTTCCAAAATTTTCGGCTGGCCAATATCTGCAAAAATAAAGATGTATGTGTGTTTATATGTATTTCTGTGTCTGTGTGTTGTTCCGAATAAAAAAATGCCGTTTCTAAGTTGATGCGGAACAAGCTTGGCTCGTATGCAAATTGCGTGCAAATTTTTGGCCTAGCAATTGCCGTTCCTGGGAAGAGCACGCACTTCAATGAGAATTTACGTTTTTTAGAAGGATATTTTCCTTCAAAGAAAAGGCATAAAGAAGTGAGATCAATTTTGAGATCAATTTTCTTAGTGTGCGCAAATGCGCAAATGTAAGTAAATCCGTTTTTTCAGTCGAACATTACAAGATGACAGGTCACAATTTCATGGTTACTTGCCCAAGTAGAAAAAACTTGTGTGTAAAGCGTTACCAAAACTCATGAGTTTTCGCTTTTCAATACTTATCAATTGAGCAAATCATCATACTGAACATGATTAAGAATTTGGAGTAATCCAATGCGCACAATAAAGCCGAAGGCGGACTCAAATGTGATGGCAACATTTTTTATAGAATGTTCCTGGCTAGAAGACACGGAGAACGTGCGTTATACTACAAAGACTCGCCAAAGCTCGCCGCCACAGTGGGCAAGAGTCGAGCTGGCTCACGATATTCCGCACCCGTTTCGCACCGATGAAATTACCGTAAGGCAATCGCACGAACGCAGCCTCGAGAGCTTCGTCGCGTCGCGAAGTTAAGTGAAAACACTGTGCAATATCGTCCACCGCACCGCGATAAGGAGTAAAAACGCAAAAAATTGTGATTTCTTCTTTTTTAATCTATTAGGTCGTTCCGAAAGTGATGTCGCTTTTTGTATGCCACATCTCGTGGAACAAAGATATATAAGAGATTCTGGTAGCATTTGATGCAGCATTCCATTCTCTTTCTGATGGTTATGAAGTTGTTGCAATACAATCAATGAGCTTCCAGAAAAGAGTCAAAATCTGCGACCTATGCTTTTTGAGATGGCCAAGTTTCACAATTTTTCTAAAATAATATAAAACCTCAGAAGGAGTCCAAGTAATGGATGGATGGAGCAAACCCTACAGGAAACAGCACAACTATTTTCTACTTTTCAGAGCTCGTCATAATTTTTGTACAGATTTTTTGATGGAACCACCGAATTTTAGCAGGCTCATCTCAGACACAAATGTATCAAACACCAATAAATCTTCGGATTTTGAAACTTACAGAGATGGATTATGGTTTGGCAACAATTTTACAAACCAAACGAGCATTCACCGCTTCGGTTTAGCAACGGAAAATTTTGGGTACACCTTGGGGTGCCTTGGAAAAGTTGAATTATGATGATTTTATCCCGGAAAGCTCGATGAATCGGAAACAAAAAACAACCGCTAAAAAGAGTAGAAAAAGCTGCATCGAATGACACCCGAGTCGCTTGCCGGTTGTTTTCTGTGAGGTTTGACTTGACTAAATATGGAATTTGATTTGACATTGAGAAATTGATTGTAGAAACCCTGAGAAGCAAGCTAAGGAAAAGAAAAATTACTCTGTGTTCTGTAGTGCTTGCTCTATCTACCTGCTACTTGTACTTTTTCGGAGATTAGGTACAAAAATTTAGAAAAATAGCCGAACTTGACCATGGCAAAAAGTATTAGGTTGTCCCAAAAGTTTCGTCGGTTTTTTCATAGCTCACCAAAACGCATAGAAACCAATCCATGAACGACCTAGGCATCGTTCCGTTCAGATTATTATCCTCTTTCTGTCAGCTATATTTGCTCTCTGATCTACCCTGTCTTTAAAATGTTATCGCCATGGCTTTTTGAGCAGCTCAGCATTAACGCTAAATTTTTCTGAATTTTAAAAAATTTTGTACAGATGTTTTCAAAGAGCCCTGGTAACTGTTATGTACAGAAAACCTTTGGCTATATTGTATTCATTTTAGATTACATAGCGCACGTTTACCAAGTCCGTTATAATTATTTATTCAACAAAAACCGCGGCTTTTTGATTACGTTTACCACGTAAAAGCACCGAAAATTCCAAAAAGCTGCTTTTTCAAAGCAAATCAAACTGCTATTTTGCATAAATAATGTTCGATAAGAATCATGTTTCAATTTACAGAAATTCCAAAAGCTTTCGTGTATCTGTTGCAGATGCGTGTTCCACGACTTGGCCAAAGCTCGAGACCTCCGAAAAAATAATTTTTCAAAGCTAAAAAAAGCAAACTAGAAGAAATATAAAAATATTGCCTTGTAGTCCGAAATTTACTCTATTTGATCCATACTTAACCCTTCCCAAAACTTTACAATGAAATTTTCAAAAATTAGCCTTACTTTGAGCAGATAAAATTAGACAGGTGAAAAGTTTTGGCATTACCAAAAAAGCATACAGGATTGTGGCTCAGAAATATAAACATAAGAAAGAGAAGGAAAAGCTGCATCGATTGAATGCTGAAACTCGTCCAGGTCTTTATTGTGCGTGGTTCTGTAGTGGTTTGAAAAAACCGACAAAACTTTCGGGACGACCTAATATGAGTCGCAGATTTTCGTAATTTTTCGAGAGCTCATTGAACATTATGCAGTAAAATTAGAACCATTAAAAAGAGGATGAAACGCTGCATCGAACGCTCCTATAAACTCTTGAAAATGTTGATTCCACGAATAGTGGCGTTCATTCGAAAAAAGAGACATTACTTTCGGATCGACCTAATATTAGGTCTTTTCAAAAGTTCGTTCGCAATGTTCTTTAAAATATCGTAACTCTCTGCTATCTGCCTAGATTTGCCTGGAATGAATTTTTCCAGAAAGAGGAGATTATGTAGTTTCTAACCATGGCTTAAATTCGTCCTACCAAACACAAGTCGCAGAGTCAAAAATGCAGTAAGAAGATCACTCAAATTTTTGTTATTTCAAAAAAGCTCACCAAAAATCTTAGAACGTTACAAAAAATATCTAAAGAACACAAACTTATGTTTTAAGACCTCGTCTTTCTAGCTACGCAATCTCGTTGTTGAACGAATGTTCATATGAAAAGTAATGACTTTTTAGGATTTGTTATACGTTTTCACAAAAATTAAAATTGCTCTCGATCAGCACGGAACTCCTTTAACTAGAAAGAGGAGGTCATAAAACCCATGTTTATGACCGTTTCGATCTCCGCTGTGGCGTTTTCAGGTTTTTTGAGCGTGCTCAAAAATTGCAAAATTGAAGCAATTCTTTTCAAATGCTTCTAACTCGTAAAATATCTCATAATGGTCCATGGGAAGGGTGCCACTGTAACGTGCAAAAATTTCTCTTTCAAATAGGCATAGTTCAGAATTTTTAGTGACCCTGCTTGAAAATGCCAATTTTGAGTATGCCTTCAGTCGCTTCTAACTCTCAAATTTCTCATATGAACTCAGAGGCAGTGCTGTAAAAGGCATAGGTTTTTCTTTCAAGTAAATGTAATTTTGAGAAAATCCATTAAGAAGGAAGGAAGTTGTTTTTGGAATTCCGGCGAACGAACTTTTGAAATGACCTAATAATTTAATTTGTTTTATTTCCAAATGAAAACAAACTCGTTTGACTCTGAAACTCCTTAGTTTTCAATATTCTTTTTTTTCACGTTTCACGTTTGTTATTGCTATGATATAGTTACTTTAGTCATTGCGAGCTCAGACAAGATAAGCTTGATAAAAGATATTTCATTATATTCCTTTGTATTTAAAGAAGAACATGAATCAAATACAGAAAGAAAACAAATAATAAGTTTTCTAAAAGTTTGGCCCTTTATCGCGGTGCTGCGGAAGATACCACACGTTAAAATCTGAGCAATTTTTTCCGAGTGTCTTCATGTAAATATCTATGAAAATTGCGACATCGCGTGCGACGTCGCAACGCGGCGAAGCTTCGAGGCTACGTCCGCGCGATTGCCCCATGGCTCACACTCACCGGTAAAAAAATGGGTGCGGAAAACCGGAGCCACTCGAGGGCGAGCTTTGGAGGCGAGGGCCTTGTAGGGAGCGGTGGAATCGGCCAAAATTGCGGGGATTTGCGGGATTTAGTTATAACTTTTTCTGAAACAACTTTCTTTGGTATCTGCAAGAAGATTTTGCTTCATCTATGAGACGAATCTTTTATATACATTATGCCCGTGGTCCATCTTGATACGTTAGACATATGAAAATACTTTGTTATTTTCAAAATTTGTTCATATGAGCAACAATACATGTTGATATTCTAATAACACATGCCAATACAATATAATACACCATGAAAAACGGGCATAATGTATACTAAGGAATTCGTCTCATCATGCTGAAAACAAATCTTCTTGTAGATTCCAAATTAAATGTTATGGAAGAAGTTATAACTAAATCCCGCAAGTCCCGTAAATCCCGCATATCCCGCAATTTCGGTCGGATTCCATCGCTACAACTGTAAAACGCCACGCGAAAAGACACAAATGAGAAATTTGAGTTAGTTGCGTCATAAGTCATGTAGACAACATATAGTTTTATGTAATATAATAACATTAGTAGGACGTTACACTATTGTGCAACCCTAGCTATTGATCTTGAACAATGCAGCAACGACAGCATTTTTGAATAAAATACACGAATAAGATTGATGAAATTCTTACCTACATGTATCTATAGCCTTGAGTTCATGATGTGACTGAAGATCTGGCCATCGGTACACGCGGCAATAGATCACATGAGGCAGTGCCTAAAAAATAATTCTACTATTTTTGAATTGGGTTTTTTAGGTATGTGTTCATTTGATTTGGAACACAAGCTAATGACTTCGATTTAGAAGCAAGAAACAGTGTATTCTCTCCAAAAAAAGATGATCAAGAAAGCGTAAACAGGAGAAACAATAAGAGAACTTTTCGTGTCTAACTTATCAATTTGTGTTTTTGAGGAAGCAAGTCATAAACGAACGTTGACCATTTTAGTTTCTAGTTTACTTGTCGTGAAAATGATACTTTAAAGCTTGTAATACTTTACGTTACTTTATTCTACTCAAACGTTTAAGGTACATCATAAAGAAAATATGAGCCAATCACCATTACCTGACAATCTCAAACCAAACCCCAGGAAGTCAAATGTGAACGAAGGTAGCGAAGACCCAGACCGATAGAATATACAGATTCGCTTGCCAAATGATAAGCAGATACAAAGGAAGGACCTCCCCCTGCCCCATTATGCTCTACATACATGCAGCCAGGCGTATTGCCCGGAATGAAATAAACGCATTGCACTTATTTGTCTTGGCAAAACTGTGCATCGTGATGGAAGCGTTGTTGCTTTGTAAGGATTCATTTTAAATAAAAAAAGTTATGTTCATAGTTGTTTTCAATATGAAGGGATTCCTTCCCTATTTTGTTGTCATTGATTTACCTAACTGTTTCGAAGACCGAACAATTACGCAGATTTTTTTTCACAACGTCTTTATGGGGATGCCTAGAGGGCAGCGGGTTTTTTTGGAGAGATTATATGACTGTCACAGACGGAAACCTGTAAACTTAAGAATAAACATGGGTACAGTCGATGTCAATTACGTACTCCCTTTCGCATGGGATGTACGCATGCGCAACGCAAAGGCCCTGCGCGCGGACCTCCAATCGATGAGGCCCGTTTGAATGCCTGAGCCATGCGCGCCGAACGTGGCGCGAAGCTCACTGCGCTTACGGAAAAGGGAGCTCGTAATTAACACGGACTTTATGGTTTTACGTCTGACTATCATGACAGTGCGAGCTTTCATAGTAGACCTAGTAATGAAAGACGCCAGCTCATGACCTTTCTGTAAAAATTCACTGCCGGTCCTTTTGGGATCGTTGCTCTTCGCTTTCTAGCCTTAATGCGTTCCTGTCAAAATGCATTGCTCTCTGACAATGTTCGAGAGATGGTCAACAGCAAGATCATTCGAGATCGGCGCTAACACGCTTCTTGACAAATAGCTTTTCTCTGATATTTGATAGGATCGGGTTTTTCTGACAGAACGAGATAACGATCCTAATCTCTTTATCACATATTCTTAACTATTACACTCGCCTAGTTATGATCTGTCGTTTCCTATCGCGTTTCGCTCAAGCTTGAATAATCATTATTAGTGCAAAAATAATGAGAGAGCAATCCTTTCTTGCAAAGTCCAATGTCAGTTGTGAATGACTCACCTTTCTGTGTGAAATTTGTAATCGCCCATCCAGAGATCGTGGTATTGTCACGCATTCCGTCGGCTGTTCCCCTTGGCACTGAAGATAATCTGTTTGTCATTGGTTTCTTGAACAATCTTTGGAATTGGCAAGGTTCCAAGAATTGGGATATGCATCCATGATTTTTGCCTAATTTTTTTCTGCCCAATTTCATGATTGCACATGTTGCTGATAATTACCTCGAATCGTCTGTGTGTCCAAGACTCATTCGTAGATAGCACGACTTGTTCGCAGCGTAACAACGAGGTCTATCAGGTTGTACCATAAATTCCGTCCGTTTTGATTATCAATCGCAATAAATCATGAGCTTCTTGTTTTTAGAAAGGTTCAAGGTACCATTCGATAGAGCAAGGCAAGCTCTACAAGGAGGCTATCTCGCTTTTACACCAGCTCTGATCCATCTCAAGTTTCAAGGCGAGAACTAAAAAGATTCAAATGCCCGAAAAATCGAGAAAAAATCATAACTCAGTTTAAAAAAATCCTACAAAAATTCTAACTTGCTCGCATAGACACTATCCATTTAAGACATTTATAGACGGTGTTGTCGTATTTTTTTTCTTGGTTAAAAATTTGAAAAACGAAGATATTCATTTTTTTGCTAAAGCGATGCTGTGCTGTTCCCGCATAAATAGTTGTATACTACTAGCCTGTAGAAGTTTGTAGGGAGCCGGTTACAAATGTAACCAGCTCCCTACAAACTTCGGCTCTCATACAACTCGAATACAGCTTGCCTTAGTTGGGTGCCTTACGCTAAAACCCATATTTCTCAAAAACTGGTGCCTGTAGAAAGCTGAAAATTTACATTTGTACTTCTACAGGCTAGTAGTATGCAAGTATCTATGTAGGAACAGCACAGCATCGCTTTAGCAAAAACATGAAAATCTTCGTGTTCTTAATTTCTAACCATGGAAGAACTACGGCAACAGCGTATGTAAATGTCTTAAATGGAAAGTGTTTACGCGAGCAAGTTAGAATTTTTGTAGGATTTTTTTAAAAGGAGTTATGATTTTTTTCTCGATTTTTTGCGCAGTTAAATCTCTTTTTCTCCTTGAAAGTCGAGATGGATCAAAGCTGGTGGTGCAAAAGCAAGAAAGCCCCTTATAGAGCTTGATTTGCTCTATCGAATGGTACCTTGGAACCTATCTAGAAACAAGAAGTTCATGATTATCGCGATTGAAAACCAAAACAGACGGAACTTATGGTACAACCTAATAGTTCAGAATGCTTGGTATTTTCATGGTCCGGATATTACATCAAAGACCAAGGTTCCGCTTGCTGTTATTACTCTACTGAGTTTCAACTATGCTGTGTAAAAGTTGCTATTTTATGCAAAAAGCAACCCTTTCGAAACTGATGTTCTGTTGCAAGCGGCAGTACAATTTCTGATGTTCTGACAGTTTTCTACAATCACCTGAAATAACCATTGTAGCCAGCGCTCATAATTTGAGTTTCTGGCAGCACAATGGTCTGGATGTTTCACCCACATGTGAAAAGGGAAGGGTGGTGATGGGCTTAGCGATATGGTGGTACGATCAGTTGCTTGGCATATATTAGGAATGCAATAAAGATATGTGCCTGAAGCAGCATCCAGAAAACGGTCTCAGAAAACGGTTTTCAGTTTGGGTAGTTTGAATTTATGTAGTGCATATGCATTGAGTTCCCTGTCCATATTAACTGTCAAATTTGAATTCTTCAATCATTTATTGCTTATCTACGCCCATCCTTGTTGAGGATCATCCCATTCAAGCATAGACATTATCACCTCTCTCGAAAATAATCTGCCGATGTTTTTGAAATAATTCAAGAGATATATTTCTGAATCACTTTTCTCGTCATTTAACACACCTCGACGCGGCTTCATTGCGTACAACCCAGTCTTGGCATTCCTTTAGCGGCGTGACATGACACATGTCAGCCCAGGCTTTATTGCCAGTGACTTTCAAAAATCAAGCACATGTGCAGGAACGCTCATTTTTTTGTGGTTGGATACTTATCAACGCTTTGCGCTGCACTGTCGATAAAATAATTGTTGATGCCGAAAAAGCAGTCGTGGAAGATTGCACTAGAAGCTAAACATGACGGTGCCCCTATCGCCCTACTTCATAGCATAAGCGCCACTAAGCGACACAAAGTTTTGAAAAAATTTTCTGGTGGGCAGCTTGAGTGCCTGCAAAGTACGCAGTGGCAGAACAAATCGACGCAGTGTTCTTAGGGCACGCACACAGTTTGTTCAAACCCTTCCGGCAGAACATGGAAGTTCAAGAATCAGCACAGCAATGGTCGCGCAAGAGTACACCGTATCGTGCTGACAGCCCATGTCTGTTTTTCCTCATTCTTTTCGACCTCTGACTCTTAGAGCTTTCAGCGAAGCGGACGCCCCGCTCCATTGTAATGCTTCAACCTACATCGATCAAACAGACTTACCCTAATTTCCGGAGTATAAGGCTCACCTATGTATAAGGCGCACCTGCCGCGCGCGAAAGCGCGACAAATGCCCTTAAGAGTGGCACCCAAAGTTCGGCCGTTCCCCACTAGAGGATCAGTATTAACAGAAAGTATTAACGAAATATCTGCAACCTCTTGATGTAACTGTCAATAAGCCTTTCAGGGATAATTTGAGGAAGCATTCGGATGCCTGGATAGCCGACAATACTCACGTAGAAACCACCAGGGGAGGAAGAAGAAAGGGACCGCGGCTTGAACTAATTGCTGAATGGGTACTCCAAAGTTTCCAAGAAGTCAGTGTCGAATCTCAAATGGGTTCAATGAAGCCTTGACAACAGATATAGATAGACTTAAACGATCTCAATGACAGCTTTAACTCAATGAATTTCGAAGGTAGTAACAGTACGGATGTTTGAGTCTTTGCTTTCTGTTGTGCTGAATTTAATAAAAGAATTTGTTTTGAAACAACTCATGATTACAAGAAATTCAACTGCACAAAAGTTGTGAAAAGTCAGCACTTGGCGGCCCTCGCGACGTCGCACGTCGCAAATGAGCCCGCGCGCGGTGCACGAAAATGCGCCTTATACTCTGGAAATTAGGGTATTTATTTTTTGTGAGTAGGGCTTGAATCGCATTTTGTTATTTTTATGAGCGCCAAGGCACATATGCTACAGAGCTTTGTTACAGAATCATGCCAACAGATACGGCACGAAACATAGAAGAAACGGAACTGTGTGACCTGCCCATGACTAAATCTACATCATCTATGTCCTCTTCTGTGAGTGTTCAAGAAAAAAATAGTCGCCTGACAAAACGATGCTGAAAATGCAAGAGAGTTTGTCCAAGATAAGAAGAAAATCTCTACAGGGTACCGTCGCTTACGTCAATGATAAAACTGGGTAGAATTATAGGAGAGGAAATGTGTCGCTGTTCCAGTTGTTTCCTGGTGGTCATGCGTACCGCGCGTTGAATAGTGCTCTTTGATTGAAGTGGCTTGGCGGCTGGAAGGCGGGACCTTGTGACCTAATTAACGCTAGGTAATGATAAGAGAGCACGCGCGCGGGAGAGACGCAGACCGCGTCGCGGACGCGAGCGGCCTTAATCAATTCACAAAGCCGCACCTTCCAGCTGCCAAGACAATTGCAAAGGTTACGTAGACAAGCTGTTGAGGTTCGTAATGTTAATGTAATAAACAAGCATTTATCGTGGAGTTAAAATAATCGAGTACCTTTGAGCCAGGATTACTATTAGATTTAGGTCCCAACGGATGCTATCACGCAAAAGGTCACCGTTAGCTCAGAACATGAACAGAACTACTCGAAATCCAACACAACTAATGCTGCTAGAGGCAAGCTGTATATCATTAATAACTTGTGACTTTTCAATTACAGCACATACGAAAGAGCAAGCCATGGATGATGACATTGAAGTTGAGCCCGTGCTCGAAAGCACTGTTGCAAGGTATGCATCAAATTTGGTGCTGTCGCATTGATGAAAATAATCTAGCAAAACGTGGCACGATCTTTTCGATTGTAAGATACTTTAGGCAAAGTCTCTGATTTTTGTTTTGTTTTGCCAGCTGAGAAAACAGATTTTTTTGCGAGCACTTGTCAAATATTGCGAGCGCATGATTTCTTTCAACTCATCATCTAGTTAGTATAAGAAAGCAACTTTTACGGATAAGCAATCATTTTTCGTAGAGTTCCAGTTGTTAGATGTCAAGGACGCGCAAAAGGGTTAACTTCTATTTTTACAACCTCCAATCAACTTATGCAGTGTGAAAGTTCACAACTTCTGCGTTTCGTCCGGACTTCAATATGATTTTTAGCAGCACCTATTTTGATTGAGGCTGTCAGCTAAGTTTGGTCTAGGTTTATCTTGATCTAGTTGAGGTTCTGAATAGAACCGCAAGCCAACTTTCTTGGTCAGTTTTGTAATTCAAGCACTTGCTTTTTGAAGAAAAAAAAGTCGATTAACATCACGGCTGCATGATTTCGACATCGCAGTCAGTGAAGCAGCATCTGGAGCAACTGGCACTGCTAAAAGTAATGCTAGAACGCTTCGGTCAGTGAAACTTTATTCACTGATTCCCTACCACCACACAAGACCATTCCGATCATGTGGGAGAAGATGTTTGGTGACCACAATCTTGAAACGAAGTAACTGGGTACTTTTGAGCCCCCTACGACGGCGTTATGCTTCACCGAAACTACCTGTACGGCAAAAAAATGTATTAGAAACTTGTTTTCATATGCAGAGCGATATGCCAACATCAACACTGAGTAAGCACACCGAAGGAAACTGAATGTTGAGCCGTTGATGATTCTAACCAAGAGGCCAACTTTCGCGTTCAAGCGCTAAACCGCTGCTTCTGGCGCATGCGCGCAACATTATCTGATCGCCTCACGACCAATGCTGGATAAAACAGCTCAGAGCTTGCAGCTATGTCATGAAAACTGAGGCACACGTCACACTTAACTATTTCACTCACTTAACCCGCTTTCGGCGCGGATGCAGCGAATGAGATGAAAGATGAAGATATGTATGGCGCATGCCTAAAGCTTGGGATATGCTCCAGGTTATTCAGTTTGAGGAGGTTTTGCTCTTGTGATCAGAGATATATAACTTTCGGAAATTTGCTGACTCCAACCATTATTCAACCTGAAGTAGGTTGGACAAACTGTATGGATGCCCTATTTCTCCATCCTGCTAGATAGCTGCGTTCGTTTCTTCCATATCGCAGTGAAGGTGTCCACCAAAAAGTTGTAAAAACTCTGGGTTACTGACTGGCACTCATGTCAGTGGGGCGACAATTCTGAAGCCCCGTGATGCAGCTTTTGGTGCAATCTTTCACGACTCTTCTTCAACATCAACGATTACTTTGTCGGCAGAACAGAGCAAAATGTTAACAAGCATCCAGTTGTGACAAGATGAGAGTCCTTCTGCCAATGTGCTGCTATATTTGAAATTCACTGGCAACAAATACTAAGCTGACATGTGCCATGCAGAGCGCCAGAAAGATGCCAAGACTGGGTTTAAGCAATGAAGCCGTGCCTCATCTGCTCAGACAACACTCGGAACCTCCGCAGGAATTCAAAATCTGCTGCTTTTTTCGCGGAACACTCTTGACTATTGGAACCATATATCGACCAGATAACGGGGCGTGAGTCGCCTTCTCGAGGTAACGTCACAAAGTTGGGATTACAGGGAATAGAGCAAAGTGGTTAGCGTGTTTGGAGTAGCTCCCAAAGTACAAAGTGTGAGGTTCCGCGGAACAAAGGTTTTGGGGAAATTCCGCAAGACAGATTTTCAAACGTTTAGCCGAATAAATGGAAAAGCGCCGCTGGGAAGCTGCCGGAGCTTCCCCAAATTTTAATGAACCCCCACCCCTCAGCACCGAATGTATGAGCGGGGTAGTAGGTACCCCTACCCCCATGGTACCGTCCCATGGGGATAAGACGACTGTCGGATCTGATGCTACGAACACAAAAAATTTGAAGAACTAGTGAACCAGTAATCTAAAGGTCTATTTGGAACGGCGTTCTTTGGGACCCACCCTCGGTTTCCCGCTATTCGCAGATTTTTGAATTGAGCTAACGATTCTTTATATTTATATTGCACAAGTATGGAGTAGTGTTCTTTATCCATGATGTGTTGCTATTCGTCCCCCTCCCCTTCCCCGCTCATTTTTGCTGCCCTTACACTTTTTCTAGGTCAAAATTATACTCCCGACGCGCATATATTTGCGGAGGAAATCCTCCAAAAACAATGCCATGAATTGTTCTTTGAATCAAAATACTTGCTCGTTATTCGGTAGAATAGCAAATTTTCAAAACTATAGTGACGAAAATACTAGGTCGTTTCAAAAGTAATTTCGCTTTTTTCAAATGGGCGCCGCTTTTGATGGAACAAAGGTTTCTAAGAGATCTTGGTAGCATTCGATGCAGTTTGAGATGGTCAAGTTTCACAATTTTTCTAATTTTATATCAACCTTTTCTATACCTTTGAAAAAGCGAAAGTAACGTATCTATAAAGCAAACCTTACAGGATGCAAAACAATTTTTTTCTCTTTTCCACAGCTTGTCATTCAATTTTAACAGAATTTTAACTGATGCTACCGATTTCCATACTTGGACAGCTAAATTTTCGTAGAACATCAAAGGAAGAGCAGCTCGTGCACTATTCGATGCAGCATTTTCTCCTCTTTCTAACGGGTGCTTTTTGTTTCCGATTCGTCCAGTCTTCGGAACCAAAATCCTCATAACTCATTTTTCCAACGAGCCCAGGCTGTGCCCGTGAAACTCGAAATTTGATATTTTGAATCCGTAAACTCTTATTTGCTTTGTAAAATTAGTGCTAACTTATAGTACCATCTTGGTAGTCTCAGATTCCGGATAATTGTGATGTTTGATGCGATTGTGGCCATTGTAGGCCTGCCAAATTCCGATGGCTTTGTTAAAAAAAATTTTTTTTAATTTATCGCGAGCTTTGAAAAAGAGAAAAAAGTTGTACTGTATTCTATGAGGTTTACTCTATCGAATCGCTACTTGAACTCCTTCTGAGGATTGATACGAAAGTTTTAGAAAATTGTGGAACTTGACCATCTCAAAAAGCATGGGTCGCAGATTTTCGTTATTTTTTGAAAGCTCATTGATTGTTTTGCAACATTTTCATAACATTTAGAAAGAGAATGAAATTCTGCATCGAATGCCTTCAAGATCTCTTAGAAACCTTTGCTCCATCAAATGTGGCGCCCGTTTGAAAAAAGCGAATATACTTTTGAAACGACCTAATATATTTTTGATATTTGTGGGAAAATGAAATAAAAAATAAATTTTTGAATATCTGTGAAAGTCTTGCCCACCTGCAATGCAAACTCCAAATTTGCCAAGGCATCTTTGTTGTGCTTCAGTAGCTTCTTCATCAGGTTATCTATCGCTTTCTTCGCCCAGTTTTCATCTTCGTCACCTGTAAATATTTATCTATGATTTTTGTCATTGCAGTGATCATCAGATCTGTTAGAGGCATTTGCATTCTCTTTTATTCGCTTTATTCTCTCCGAATAAAGAATTACCCCAATTCATCCCTGTTTTTCCATGAAACAGAAACATTTTCTTGCTAGGATTCAAGTTTTGCGCAAAATATTAGACGAAACAAAGTACAGATGAGATTATAAGCTCAAAATATCAACTTTTGACATTGCAAAGACATCCACTTTTGAATCTCGAAGAAAACTAATCAATCAACTAGCTGACTAAATTAATTAACTAAACGTGATTTGGATTCTAAAAAATCGCCTATCGAATAATTGTGATGTCTCCTAGCATCTCTTCAATCTAAAATCTTTTTGATCTTCACCGATCCATGTCTACTGTACACGAAACTTTTACGGATTGATTTTTATTCTGTTTTTTCGACAAAAACTCACCAAAGAAAGGAAAAATTTTGTTTTTCAAATTTCAAATTTTTATCCTCTGTAAAATTATGTGTGGACTCTGAATATAGAAACGCTAAAAATTTCATCTGGGAATAAAATTATGAGTTTACAAAAAAAAACCATTTTACCAACTCATCTAAAAAATTAACAATGTCTGAGCAGTATCCAATTGCAGAATCACAGTTTTATCAAAGCGGAGCTAATATCATTTGAAAAATTATTCAACGCGAAGAATTTCACTAATACAATTAGAGAGGAAAAAAAGGTTTAAAAAAAGTAAAAATGCACTGCCAAAAAATTATCGTCCTCGTCTATCAGAACTTAGTTACCTTGCTTCCATCCAAGATGTTTCATTATGCCATCGAACTTCGTTTGTATGCTCATGGTTTCGTCCTGAAAACGTTGCTTTCGAGAATTTGCTTGTGAAAATTTCGTTAGTTAAAGGTTTAATAACGCATTGCTTTTGAACAGAGTAAAAATAAAGTGAAGAATGTATGCTTTGGAAGGTACAGAGACTAAGTGAACAATCAGAAAGGAACATGTTTGTGTTTTACGACCTAGTGAAAAAGAGTTGCTAGCTGCTAGCTTATATAACGTTTTTGCTGGTAATCTAACTGATTTGGGCATTGCAACTTTTCTCATCTATATTTCTTTTTCAAAATTGCTTCAGCATGATTCTAACATTTACTGACCTTTCTTTCGAATTGTTTGATTTGATCTATCATGTTTCCAAACGCTGTAATTGAAATCGAGGTGACCCGAAAACTTTTTCGGTAAGGAGGGAGAAGAGTAAAAATTCTTACGAAATTAATTTTGTGCCAAAAATTTAGAGGGTTCATAACTATGGAAACTTCGCAAAATTCAACAATTTATGCGTAAAAACCAATAATTTGAGATTTTATGAATTTTTGAGATTCTGGAAATTATTGTAACAATTTATGCTTCAAAGCCAATCACTTGAGATTTTATAACTCATAGAGCCTACCTTGCCTTTTCTCCTCCCTTCCCCTACCCCGGCTCTGCCGCTATTGGAATAAGCATGATTTTTGCGTATCTCCAGACGTTTGCAATTACATTGCGTCTAGCAACAATGAGATAAATTCAAATTTTTGAGTCGGAGTTAAATGAGGTGAGTGGATTGTGAACCGTAAAAAATAAAAAATTTAGAAAAATTTTACCGTTGATCTGTAATTCCTATATCAAAAATTTATTAGAAAAAATGCCTTTTGAGAAATCTCTAATGCACGGTTCATTTCCTATTGAGAACTTTGTATTATATGTGGTAAATGTTGTATTTCATATGTAATAGATTTTGTGTAAACAATCATGAAAGTCAAATGAAAGCTCAAAGATTATAATTTATGCATTATTCAATCAGCGAAAATATTCTTGGTCAGAAAGAGTAGGTCACGAAACTCAGACTGAAACTAAAACAAGACGCTGATAGACTTTAGAGCATTTTTAGCATCCAAGAAAAAACATTCAAAATTTTCGTTAAGCACTTTGTATCACCCGGAAAGTCTGTCAGAACTGGGTTTCAGCCCAAACACTGTCAGAAAGCACATGATATTTCTTTCTGGAACATTAATTCGTCGTTTCTGAGAATGGGGTGGTTATGGATTTTTGAAACTCGGTGCAAGCCTTATGGATCAATCTCATGCTGCATACGAAAAAAAAATAAAGGTTATTAATGCGGTGGTTATATAATACTTACATCTAGCGGAAAACTCTTCATAAGCTTAGTAAAGCTTGCTATAGATTAGTAAACATTTTCCTTCATTCTCATATCAGAAAAGCTGTATTTCAATGTATACTGTTACACTATGACACACAAGTTCTGATTTATTGGAATTTTGGCTTGATTTTAGCAAATCTCCAAATTGCTTATTGAGCTGTTTAAACTTGTGAACTGCCTTCATATCTGTTAAGATGCTTTTAAAAATTGAAAAATCTATTGAAAAAGATGAAAAAGAATTTCAAGAGCTAATGACTTGAATGGAGGTTGCAGTGACTTTACGGATACGGAACTTCAAATCTAGTGTGCTCATGTTCAATGTAGAAATGATGTCAATGGATAGCCCTTTGTCTTTCCCTCTATGTGCCAAATATGGGACTTTGCCGAAGTTTCTGGAGCTTTCCAGAAGGAGAGAAAGAAGATATAAGAAAACTCATGTAGCTATCCATTAATAGGTAGTCTCGAAAATTCTGTCCAGGGCCCGGCAATAGTCGTTTTCTAGGGTTTCTGAGAACGAGGTCCCCCTTGACTTTTGCCAAATTTTACAAGTTCCCCTTTTGACCCTATCGGTAACATCGGCCAAAAAACTCAAATAACTTGTATTTTTCTGGCTCCAAAAAACGATACCCCCTTTGTTTTTTTTCACAAATAACGAAGTCCAGCTTCTGGACGATCTGTGCTGGGCCCTGATTCTGCCGTTTTATATTTGGTAATTTATAATTTTGCGCTATCTCAACGGATTTACTTCATTATATTTTTATTAGGAAGAGTATATCTTTCGCTTTCGAATGCTGTTTTGCTGAGTTTCTGCTACACAGTGGCTGCAGATTAAAAAAAATTAAAAAAACGAGATGGTATAAGCTCTGGTTACTTTAACTTGGGTCACCAAAAATCGGAAACGCTGCAGAAAAATTTGAAATCGTCAATACACAAGTTTTATAATCTAGTCTTTGCACTTGTAGAAGTTTGTACTGTTTGGGTGTGTTTGATAAAAGTTACGATTTTTTGAAAAATGACAAAATTGATTAATTTTGACGTTTTCCGTAGTAAACTCTAAATTCGTAACTCCTCACAGAAACGTCCAAAGAGCAAAAGCTTTTTAAGATTGCGAAGAGTAGGTCAAAAAATTTATGTACTAAGGTTTTCAGATTTTTCTACAGCTTCCAGATTTTTGATGATCTAATTCAAAATGACAAAAGCTTACATGGTTTTCTTCTTCCATTTTTATCTCTGCAGTCACTGTGAAGTAGAAGCTCGGCAAGAAATTTTTCAAGAGCGAAAAATTTATTCTTCATAATAAAAATACAAAGGAGGAAATCCGCTAAAACAGCGCAAAGATACAAATTTTTAGAAATAAGGCGACAAAACTTTTGGGGCAACTCCATAGGTTTTTCGTGGAACTGTCAGGAGCGCCTTTGACGATTTTGTAGTAATTAATCGTACCAATTAGCGTTCGATTGAGATAGCATCATTAGCGAATCAATAAGCGAAGATAGAGTGAGATGAGAGTGTGTGACGAGACGGCTGATAAGCGGCAAGTGAAATAGCGGTGAGACAATTCGTGCGAGAGATGAGACTGTCGACCGGCCGGCGCACAGGCGCCGACGAGCGCGCAGAACGCGCAGAACGCGCCGGTCGCGGAGGCGGCAGAGGAGTTGCGCGCGACTTAGCGGAGCCTCATTTCGAACCTCATCGAACAGCTGCAACCGTCAAGAAGTGAAAATGCGGCGCCGACTTGATGGAGCGTGTAGAATGAGGCTTTAATGGTCTCGCAAAAAGTGGTTGCATTTCTGGTGGCAGCGCTTTTTTCATTGAAGCAAAAGTTGAAATAAGAGGACGATACTTTTAATATGTAAAAAAAACCCTTTAACTACTTTTTTTCCTTTTTTTGATGAAATTCCTCCGATTTTTGTGGCTGTTTACAAAAAAAATATTTTTTATGGCTTGTTAAGGGTTTAAGCAGATCCTGCATAATGATTTAAAGATAAAGCTGGATTTCAATTTTTATAGACAATATGATGCATAGATAAGCTTTTGTTATACTGACGCTTCTTAGAGAAATTGATTTTTGTGCAACTTCCTATCGATGCCAATGACTGGTGCATTTCTATTTACCATATGTCTGACATTAGCCGAGCTGTGTTGATCTTCTAATTTTTTGCGCCTATGTCGATCCTATGTTGGTTAGGAGCAGGTTATTTTAGGTGACACGAAAAAATAAAATTAAAATAAGTGTACATGCAAGGATGTAAAGAATTGTTCAATTAATTGAATGTATCCTCTATAAGGGCTAGAAGAATTCCGTGTAGAGAGGCGCAACAAAAAAATTTTGAATAGAGCGTGATCCGAAAAATTTTTGGGATGCATTGAATTTTTGAGGGCTCATGACACTCTCAAATTTTGGAAAAATTGGGTGTGGCGGCAGCCGGAAAAATCGCTTCTATGCTAGAAAGTCTCGAAAAAATTTACAGGTACGCACAAGTCACTCGCATATTTTTATATTATACATGCAAGTAACTAAAGATTTGCGACTCCCCCCTCTCTCCCCCCCCCCCCCCCCCTATCGGTGTACCACTGATACTCCTGGTGTTTTCCTTCACAATTTTTTTAAATGTAGCTCAGCCTATTAGTCGAGAGTCAGACTTTAGTTTGTCTTCAAAAGAAACTCCCCTTTTAAAGGGATTCTACTTCTTCACAATTTTCCCTGGTTGATTTGGAGTCTAGAAATAAGATCCAAATCAAATTTGATATTTTATTGCTGTCAAATCATGCTCTGGTTTTTGGGGTCTTTTTCTTGTTTTTTACTTTCTTGAAAAGGTAGAGCTAGTCAAGAAGAAGCTTAGAACACATGCGTAAAAATTTCGCTTGCTACTGGAATCATCTTCTCAGAATCATTGGAGAAGAGTCCACTGCGTTTATCTGACGAGATTCAAAATCTCAAGAAGAATTCTAGTTAAAACTATTAGGTTGGCTAAAAAATAAGTTCGGTCGTTTTCAACGGTTTGTAAAAATCTTGCAAATTAATTTGTGTAAGAATGTTTGGTACCATCAGAAAGAGCAAATCAGGGAGAATCGAATGGTTAACTCTGTTTGAGCGCCAATCATCATTTTGACAACGAAATTGTGCAGGAAATGGAAATAGTCAGATTTTTTCATCGAATTTTCGAAAAATCATGCCCCGAAAAATGAGCTGAAGTTGGGTGCAAAATGCACAACTGGCATTTACACCACAAATTCTGAAATTTCCAACAATTTGCATGGTCATTGGTGGTCAAACTCGAGCGATTCGGACTGCCCAAAAACTGACTCCCATGCGTAAATGCCTGGAAATTCTCACATTTTTGGCTGCAGAAATTCACAAACAACAGATCAAAATCTCCATTGTGGTTCGCCATGTAGCCAAAGGTTGTATACACCTAACCACCAAATTAGTCATCTGTGCGCTCACTATGGGCTGAAAACGATACTTAGAAATTCAAAAAAGCGAATTTTCAGAAGGCTATACATATAAGGGCATACTTGCTAATTACTGATGACCAAAAACTGCGACTATTTGATATGTGATAGTAGAGGGTTGAAGCTACCTCCTGGCAAAAAAATCTCTGCTAAATATCTGCTAGTCGATTTGTTACAGACTTTCGAAGAAGCATGTCAAACCGA